GTTGGAAAAAAATCCTTAATATAAAGACATATTTGTAGGGGGGAAAAAAGATGTCATTTTGAAAACAAAATGTATAATCAAAATTCTAATCACACTAACTTAGCTTTGTTTTATTTTGCAGTCTTGGAGATTGAATTCAGCCCCCAATCCCACCACCACCTCTACCACCATTTTTTTTAACACAAGTGATATATGCACACCCATGTTTATAGCGGCACAGTTTATAATAACTAAAACTTGGAAACAGTCCATTTGCCCATCAGTTGAAGTAAGAAAAAGTTGATGAATTTAAAGATACAGCAATAGAAACTACCCAAAATGAAAAAAATACAGTGAAGAAGAAATTTCAAGTAATTAACAAAGCATCAAGCATCCAAACATATACACAGTTGAAATTTCCAAGGGAAAGGACATATATTGGGAAGTAATGGCAATAATTTCAAATTTTGATTATGTCATATCTAAGAAGCCAACAACCCCAAACATGGAGAAAAATCCAAAATTATCCATAATTAAATTGTTCAAATCAGCAAGGATAGAAAAGAATTAAACACCATAAGCATCCAAATTAATCTAATTGATATTTACAAAACAATCCATCCAATAATAGCAGAATGTACATTCTTTTTTGGGTTGTTTGTGTGTGTGTGTGTGTGTGTGTGTGTGTGTGTTTGTTGTTTGTTTTTGTTCTTTTTTGAGACAGGGTCTCACTATGTAGTTCAGACTGCCCTGGAACTCACTGTGTAGCCCAGGTTGGTCTCGAACTCACAGCGATCCTCCTGCCTCAGCCTCCCGAGCTGGGATTACAGGCATGCGCCACCACTCCTGGCAGAATGTACATTCTTTTAAAGTGCATGTAAACATTTTAAAAAGAAAGACCATAGTCTGGGTAATGAAACAAATTCTAATAACCTGAAAAGCACTCAAGCAAGCCATACAAATTACATGCTCTAACCACATTCAAATTAAATTAGAAATAAATAATGGTGAGCTCTGGGGAAAACCTGCCAAATATTTGGAAATAAACACCCTAACACGATTCTAAATAGCCTGCAAGTCAAAAATAACTGATCTAAATGGCAATTATAAAGTATTTTGAGCTAAATGAAGGTGGAAACAAACTATACTCCAACTTGTGGGATGTGATAAAACTATATTCAGGGAGAAATTTTATAATTCTAAATACCCACTTTAGAAACCATATAATTAGAAAAGCTGAAAGGTTTAAACCAATAACCACAGCATTCACCACAAAAGAGAAATTAAACCAAAATCAATTAAACACAATAGAAAACTGGATATAATAAAAATCACAATAGAAATTAATGAACTGAAAAACAGAAAAGCAAAATATAAAGTCACTACAATTAAATTTGATATGATCAGTAAAATCTCTAGCCAGAGAGATTATAGAAGGAAAGAAGAGAAAAAAACAAAAAATAGCAATATCACAAAGGGAAGTGATGTTAGCATACATCCTATGTATTAAGAATTATGCCAATACATCCCACCACTTACATGAAACAAACGCACTCCTTGAGAGGCTCAAACTACCAAAGTTCACTGACAAAGAGCACTTCACTAACAGCTTAGCCTGCACAAAGCCCAGAATTGGATTCGTGGCACAAAGAAATAAATTAATGAAATTAAATCAAATCACAGAAAATCTGAAGAACTCTGTATCTACTGCATAACTTTAACTGATCATGTAAAAATCATCTCAAAAAGAAAAGTCCCAATCAGATGGCTTCACTGGTGACTTCTATAAAACATTGAGGAAAGAAATAAAACCAACACTTCAAGAAAACTGAAAGTTGAAAATATTACCCATTCTATGAAGTCAAAATTACCCTAATAACAAAACCAGACAATGATATTATAAGAACAGAAAACTACAGAACAATATCTGTCCTACATACAAATGTAAAAAAACCTAAATTTTGGTAAATCGTATCTGACTATATTAAATAAATAATAGATCATAATTGAATTGTGTTTTTCCCAAGAAGGCAAGGTTACTTTACTATTATAAAGCAATCAATGTAATTCACTACATTAAAAACTAAAATGAAGATCACCTCAAATGATGCAAGAAAAAGCATTTAACAAAATCCAACATACAATCTTTTCCTTTTTTTCTTCTTTTTTTTTAGGTTTTTTGAGACAGAGTCTCATTTTGTAGTGCAGGCTGGCCTTAAACTCACTAGGTAGCCCAGGCTGCCCATGAATTTACAGTGATCCTCCTGTCTCAGCCTCCTAAGTGCAGGAATTAAACCCCTGTGCCACCCACCATGCCTGGCCCAACATCCATTCTTGATAAACACTTTCAGCAAAGTAGTAAGAGAAAGAAACTTTTAAAACTTGATTTAGGCTATGAAAAGAAAGAAAAGACTCAGTTAACACTACACTGAGTGGTGAAAGAATACTTTCCCCACTAAAATCAGGAACAAACCAAAAATTCCTGTTCTTTCCACTTTTATCACCGGGTACTAGTTATTCTAGCTAATACAATATATCTTTGTAGAAAATCCAATGGAATCATTTTTTTAAAAGCTACTAGAACTATATACAAAAAAAACAAAACAAAAACACTGAGATTCCACCTCCCCCAGAGAAAATGCCTGCTATCACAAAATCAACCAATAACAAATGCTGGCAGGGCTGAGAAGAAAAAGGTACCCTTCTCCACTGTTGGTGGGAGTGTAGACTGGTGCAATCACTGTGGAAATCAATATGGAGATACCTCAAAGAACTAGGATTGGAGGTCCCATTGACCCAAGTATTCCCCTGCTGGGAATCTTCCCCAAAGAATTAAAAGAATAATACCACAGAGATATATGTGCACCCATGTTTATAATGGCACACTTCGTAATAGCTAAAACTTGGAAATAGCCCAACTGCCATCAACTGGAGACTGGATAAAGAAAATGCTTTTTTAAATATATAATGGAGTAGTATTCAGCCATAAAGAATGAGAAAGTAGAGACACTTGGATGTTCATTGAAGCCATACTCTTAACTGAAAAAATTAGGACACACGTGTAAATACCAAATAGTTTCTCCGGTGTAAGAAAATGAAAGTATAAGTAAGGACCAAAAGGTATAATAGATAAAGTGAAGTACTCACAAAAAGGTCAAAGGGGAAGGGGAAATGGGAAGGGTAGGGGAAAAGATGGAAGGGAATGGAATTAATATGAGAAAATGAAAGAACAGAAACAAAGTCTTTGTAAAGAGGGAGGGTGGAGGGGTTCAAGTGAGGACAGGGGAATGGGAAAAAAATAAGAACACAGGATACATTATATAAAGGTACAAATTTCCAATGATGAATATCATTATATTGTATACCTAAAATAGACCAATAAAATTATTTTTTAAAAGATCTACATATATGAAGAAATATATCTTATACTTCAGCAGAAAGACTGCATACTATTAAAATGTCACTTCACTAGGTCCAGCCCACACTCAAGCAGAGAGGATTGCATAAAGTCAAAAATACTAGGAGATAGAGATCACTAAGGGCATAGTACAAGTCTTCTTGCCAGAGGTGTTGATATTATTAAAGTATCTTCTCATATTTTCATTATTGAATAATTATATAATTCCTTTAAAAGGACTCTGTAGCCAAGCTTCCTGCTTCAGCTTAAATCTTGATTTTCTTAATTACTGTATGACTTTGCCCATTTTTCTTTTGCTTCACCTTTCTGATCCATAAAATGTAGATGGTAACAATACTTATCTCATGAACTTTATAAAAGTTTAAATGACTAAGTACAGTATCTGTAAAGCATCTGGTATACAGTATTTGTTTATATACATAAATCAATATATCCATAAAACCAATATAAGTGCTAAAAGTACTATTTCTTAAAATTAAGTAGTTATTATAACACATCTTTCTTTAACTACGTAAAGACTACTACTGCAAGTAAAGCACAGTATTATAGTGAAGGTGCGTACAAAAATAATTCATTAAATTACAGGCACTTAGTCAAGCTGAGGTACTAAAAGAAAAGTACCATCTTATTTCCATTTTTAGTTGAAGTTTCAAAAACATACTTAATACCTAGGATGACTATAATAGGCCTGTTCTGCTGAGTGGTAGTTTGTGGTTATTCTTAAGGACTATGAATGGCCCACTTCCACTCTTAAAAAATGTTCCAGTTTACACAAGAAACCATATAATCACCCCATTTTGTCATAGTCCTAGACTGGGATGGAAACTGAAACTAGATTAACAATTTTTAGTAACAAACTAACAAGGCAGGGACAACGGGAAAGGAAACTGAAGGAAGAGACAGGCATTGGTAAGGGGATGAACAGGAATGATGGAACTGGAGTGGTGCAGGAACAATAAATGCTTCAAAGTGTCCAAATACCAAAACCAATTTTTTTCACAATGATACTATGTTGCCTAAAGCCTACCATATTCTTAAAAGCTAAGTAATTGGTCATTTAATATTTAAATGGAATTTCCTCAAGGATAAAAAAAATGAACATTAAAATTTTTAATATATAATATTTAATAACCCTTTCTTCTATCTTGTTCTCACAAATAATCATAAAGTCAAGATATAATCCTTCTTTTTTTGAGCGGGTACCGGCGATGGAACTCAGGACCTTGGGCTTGCTACACAGGCAGTGACAACACTGAGATAAAGCCCCAGTCTACCAAGATATAATCCTGATAGAAACATTTCTTTAAAAATAAGAAAACTTGTTAAAATCTATACATTACAGGCCCTGTTCTAGCAATAAAGCATTTTATAGCTATTTTTAAACTCCCATCTAAAATCATTAGTTAATTTACTTTGAAAATTCTAATAACTTTATAATCCAGCAATCCTAAACAGTCATGATCTCTTAAGCGGATAAATATGACCACTTTAATTAAAGACCAAATTATTTGATTTAGTGTGAATTTTTTGCTTGTATACTTCAAAATGTGTTTACAAGTTCTGCTCTTTTAACTAAAGAAAAATTATAAAACTAGAACAATTTTTAAAAACGCCTATAAACAAAGGCATTCTTAAAAGTTAGGCATTTTGACTGTCTTAGAATTTAGGTAATAAGAGGAATATAGTACTAATATATGCCAAACATGGGTGAAACTTTAAAAAGTTTTCTTGAGAAGCAAGCCATGAACAAGTTCCCCATTTATTGTATGATTCTGTATAAAAAGTCCAGAACAGGCAAATCTGTACAGAGTGTTAGATTCAAATTTGCCTAAAAGTGAGGTAAAGAAGGGACCAGAATGAGAGGCACAGAATGAGTTCCTTCGTGAGTTAGAGAACATTCTAAGATTAATCCCAGTGAAAGTAGCATAACCCTGTGAATATACTAAAAAAAGAATGATAGTTTAAGTCAGTGAACTATATAGTCTGTGATTTATATTTCTCAATAAAACTATTACCGCAAAAAAATTCAGACTATAATTCATACCCTAAATATATAAACTGTTAGGTGTTAATACCTTAAAAATGGAAACATATGTTTGCAACACTTTGTAGAGTAGAAGTGTATGCATTAGTCTGCTTATGATAATTGCTAACCATGGATGCTACTGCTAGTAAACACTCTGTCACCAAATTCCTATTGAATTTCGGACTATGTATGGATTTCTTGAATATCTTACCACATGATAAATTTAGAAATTGCTTCACTTTAAATTTCAGGTAAATATTTCCTGATTTCATGTGGGAATAAAAGTAGTTTAAATAATATATCAAATTGTAGGATTTAGTCCTAAGTAGCTGTTAATTTACAGTTTGTCAATACAAATGTTAATACAGTACATGAAGTAATACGTATCAAGCTAAATTATGATTTAGATATTCCACAGCATATACTTTTATCAATTTAAAATTAAATTATAAAAATACAAAGCTTACTAAAGATAATTTGAAAGTCTTATAACAAGTTAGCTTAACTATATATGTAAATTTCTATTTCATCTTCTTAAATTATTCTATTAGCACTACAAATAGTGTTAATTATTTCTTGACCCAAATATAGTACTTTCATCTAATCATATCCATGCTCTTCCTATAGTCATTACCTAAATGAGGCTTTTAGATAGAACCACATGTATGGAACAAACAAAACAAAGGAAAAATACTTGCAATAAACCATACCTAGTAATAAGAACTGCATTATCGTGGTGGGCAATCCCATTTTCTGGAATGGTGTTTCCATCACTTTGGTGAGAGAGAATGGATTTCTGCCATTTACAGAAGCTATCGAGAGACTTGTCTGCATGGTGGTTTATCTCCAAGTTTGGCTGCAATACAACATGCATACCAGAAATGTTCCAAACAAATTACTAAGGTCAGCTGTTAAAACTTTTGAAGACTACAGTGGGAGCTTAATTAGAACCAGTTGCTTCTGGGAATAATCTTTCCAATTTTTATCTCTGCAATAAATGATCTATAGTTCATTTAGTTTATTATTGAACAGACATTCTTTACAGTTCCAGCTTTAATGATAATGTAAACATGAGATTATCAGCATACAAGATCAACAAAAACCAGTATTATAAAAAAACCTGATTTATACTAAAACAGTATTATAAAGCATGCAAATCATCATCCTTATACTAAAACATATATCTAATATACTCTTACACACATAGAGAAAGCTTTAACAAGATATGAGGCAAATTCTTTTAAAGTATTTAAAATTTGCTTAAAATGTTACATTTTTAGAGTTAATAATCACATTTAACCAGCACATAAAAGGAGCAATGAGAAAATACATTCTTTTCTAATAAGTATTTCCATTGCCTAAGAGTTTAAATTTATAATTAATTCAGTCTTACCTGATCTTCTGTGAGAACAATTAAGCGGGCCACTATAATATTCACAACGTTTCCTAGGCTGGAATCACGGTAAAGTTTGGCAACCTGACCTCCAGAAAATAAGAAAAGACAAAAAGTCAGACAAAAATCACAGGTGACAGTTTGATTTTTTTTAAATTAGTAAAACAATGTTTTATGACTTTAACCATTATGTAAATAAAAAGGTAATCTTTTATAATACGTTACATGGAACTCTACCCTCAAGATGCCTTGCAACAGATTTTTGCGCATTCTACATCAAGAAATATCTTCTCCTAGAGATGAATTTCATCACTGTAATTAAGAGTGAACTGTTTCAAGTTAAATAAAACTGCTTAAACAAGATTTAACAACCTATTGAAAATATTATTTAAAAATAAACAGTGAAGTCATCTTTAAATTTGTTTGGATGAAACATTAACATTACATATTAACAAATCAGTATTGCAGCTGAGAATATAGCTCAGTGGTACAGCATGCATGAGGCCCCTGATTCAATCCCAACTACCAAAAAATAAATTTTAAAAAAATTATTTACTATTTTAGACAGATCAATTCTTATTATTTATTTCACAGTAAATATTCACGAATGTAGTACAAAACATAATAGACTACTAAATAAAATATTATATAGAGGGATCAAACTTACAATATTCATCACACTCAAAATATAATGCTCAATGTCTTTGCGGCCATGGTAGCCCACCATCATTTTATCTGCCACTACCAATGTCTCCACGAACCGCTCAATGCTCACTGATCTCTTCTGTCTGTGATGGATTTGTGTATCATTAACTGGTAGCAAAGAAGGAAATGCAGATGATGTGTCATTCAGCCACCAAGGTTTGCCACTTCTTGGGAGGTCTACAGTAAAAACAATTCAGATAGATTCACTAATTTAGCATATTTATTTACAGATTTCTCATGTGGATATACTTCTCAAAAATTACTTAGTGTATTAATATTTTCCTAAATGGGATGAAGAAATACAGCAATCAGAAAAACTATTAAATTTGCAAATTAATCATCTGAAAAAAATTCAAGGGTTCATGAAAACAAAATAAATCTATATCTAATAAAAATCTTTTCAAATAGTCATTTCATTTTTTTCCAGTGAGTTATTATCACATAATGCTTTTAAATTTAGAATATATACCTTAAAATCATTTGAAATTGTTTCAAAATCAACTGGGGTATAACTTTTGAAACAGCAGTAAATAGTTCTGATGGAAAACAATGATACTTCAAAAATCTATTCCTAAAATGATTCTGAATACTTATTCTAGAGTAAGATGCTTTTATTAAACTATCTGATTTAGAATCAATTATTTTCCTTCAGAAAAATTCTAAAAGGCCATGAATTAATTTTTCCACATAATTTTGCAGCCTATGACTATGAACATATATATTTATACTATTCCTTTTCCGAAGTCTAAAATGAGAGTGGAAAGATGGCTCCGGCACAATTTGCTTTAAATCATGTTGTTTTATGGGTTATGGCTTGAGTTTAAATGTCCCTCTAAAGACTCATGCAATTGTAGGTTCAACTTTTTCAAAGCTAGCTGAATCTAGAGTGTGTGATTGATTCATGGTGTAATGCTAGGTTCAAGGACACTAAGATTAAGGGTGTGAATGCTACCTACCCTAAGTAGTCTGGATAAGATAAAAGACACAGAAAGACACTGCTAAATTCCTTTGTTGCTTTTGCTGTCTTCTGCTGCCATGAACAATTGCCCCTCTGCCACGTACCATGCTGCCTTGGAGCCAGTCAATTATGGATTTAAACCTCAACAAACTGTGAGCTAAATAAACCTTTCCTCCTGTAACTTTGGGTATCAAGTATTTTGTTTCAGCAATGAGAACAATAACTAAGACAGTGTGGATCACAGTGTACCTTTCATTTTCTAGACATTTTGTTCTGTACTGAGGAACACTTTTATTAGTACAGACTTGCATACAGACTCATTTATATTCATACTCATTAAATAAATTTGAGCAGGCAGATGTCTTCTACATATCTCACTTTCATATCCTTATATTGAACTGAAAATCCTTCTCACTAATAACAAAAAAATTAGTGAGGAAAATTTAAATTAATATTATTACATACTTGACAGCAACACTATTCTCATTCTTCTAACTTCATTAGCCTTTTCCTTTTAAAAACTGCACTGGTAAGATGGATAAATTTTAAGAAATGAGAAATGGAAATAATCATGAAAAGAATCACCTTCAAAATTAATGTAAATTAAATGTCTATCTTTGTTCCTAAAGGTCAATAATGGCAAAGACATTCCACTTCTTATTTCAATAGTATATTCTCAAGAAAGTGAGTGTTTCCTTATGTCTTGCTGTTGAAGACAGACTGATAAGGTGGCCTCCATGGGCCCCACTCGTTGACATTCACACTCCTCTGTGATCCTTTTCCCTTTGAGTATGGGTAGGACCTCTGACCTGCTTCTAATCAATAAAATACAGCAAAGATGACAGAACAAAAGTGATTATATGTATGTGAATACACAATTAGGTTACATAGTACTATAGCACCTGTATACTCTATTCGCTCCCTTGCCGACTTGGAGCATGCTAGCATATTAGTGAATCCATGGCAAAGAGCTGCAGTTTGCCTCTGGCAAACAACCAGAAAAAAACTAAAACCACAAAGATCTGAATGCTACCAAGAACCAGGGAGCAGGAAGGTATTCTTTAAACTAAGATTCCAGATGAGAACCCAGCCCTGGTTGAGACTAAGCAAATAATCCATCCATACAGGTCCCAACCTACAAAAACTGTGAGATAATAAATGTATATGGCTTAAGCCACTATATTTGTAGTAATATTGTTAAGAAACAGACAAAATGTTTTCTGCATCAGTATATTTTCAATGTTGTTCTGGTCAGTCTTCTGTGACCACAAAACCGTTCATGTACTCAAGTTATACTTCATCTTTTCTTTCTCTGACTAGGTAGCTTAAATATCTAAACAGAAGATTTAATTTGCAGTCTTTTGGTCATTTCTGCTTCTTTGATGCATTCAATTTCTCTTTATTTTAATTTTAAGATTAAAAGAAAAATTAGATATCAGTCACTAAGAAATTAGCAATGTTATTTCTCACTTGAAAAGTATTCTTGATAATGTTACTGCTATTATCATCATCTAATTGTCATATTTTTCAAACTTTAGCTTTTATAATTGTTAGTTTTTCAGGTTATCAGAACACAATTTTTTTAAGATAAGGTCTCTAGCTTTTTATTTATGAGTGCTCATCAACATTATATATAATTATATAAATAATAATATAGTTAGATATTTAATATTATGTATTCAGAGCATACTGAATGAATAAAATAAAGAAATAGCATATCCAGTTTCATTTCAAAAATTAAACTAATCCAATTTGCTGAATATGCTAAATATTTATTAATGATTACACAAGTAGATAATGAAAATAGAGACATACTATTATCTATATTAATAGAATGAAAGGATATTTAATTATTTCTAAATACAAGAATAAAATTTTCATTTTTTTGTCTAGGTTTTCTAAAAAAGAACAGATATGACATCCATAAGAAATGTTTAAAATTCATAATTTGAATCTAGTTAAAATGGAAAAAATTCCATATCTGAATATGACACAAATATACCTAGGTTCAAAAGGATTTTTATATCCTATATTTTTACATTAATTTGACTTGCTCATAACAGACAAACTGGTAAAGTGTCTCTAAATTTACATTTCTCACTTTACCTATGCTGTTAAAATAGCTTCATAATTAATTTCTTGCCCAGATATTTCACAAACTTAGCAACAAAAAGTGCTTTTTCTTTTTCCTCAATAATATCTAGTAATACCTTGGAACTCAAAGAGCTACTACATACAATATTCCCACTAATGGGAAGGCAGTGAAGTGTTTAAAAGTGTGACAAACACAAATTTAACTAAAAACAGGGTAAAACTGGGAGATATGAGACCCAGCTAGAAAGACAGTACAGTAGTCTAAGAAGAAAATGAAATCTGAACTAAATGGACTGGGGTAAGGGACTAGCGCACAGAATGTACTAAACTTAGAAAATTGTATTAGTAAACCAAGAGCAAAACAGTAAAAAAAATAAAAGAAGAAAATCTTTCCCCCAAAGGGCAAAATTTTATGATAGCAATAAAAATAGGTTTGGAAATGTTCAATTCATGCTTAACCAATGAAAAATAAAGTCTGCCTGAGGTACAATAATGTAACAGGCACTTCAAAAAAGAATAATTTGAACATGAAAAGATTACATGATGCCTTTCAAAATATGAAGAAATCTTCAATTTTATTTTTTCTCTTTTCTTTTTATGGGACTGGAGATTGTACCTAGAGAGCACTAAGCTATATCTCCAGCCTTTTCCTAAATTTATTTTGACACAGTCTTGCTAAACTGCTCACACTGGACTCACACTAGAAATCCATCGAGTATCTGGCATTATAGACACCTACCAACACACCTAGCATGAATCTTCAAATATTTTTTACAGAAAGATATCTACTTTACAATCATAAAGTAAATGATATTATAGGAAAGTGCCAAAATAAACAACTAAATATTTGAATCATCGTTTTTAAAGAATTCATATATAGTTGTACTTACACCCTAAATTTAATTATATACAAGACAAAATAAACTTATTTTGATAATGTTTGGTTTTACTACTCAATCAAACCTTTTCATTGTTCATTAAGAAATTTTATTTCATATTTTAAGTGGATTTACTTATTTTAGTGGCCTTTTTTAAAACCAACCATTTCTGACTAACAAGGATTTTCCATTACAAAAAGCCTAAGAGATATTTAAATCTTTATTTAAGAAGAAAACATTCAGAATAAGATGCTGTTACACAAAGTACTCCAAAGACCACTTAAACACTTGAGAACCCCATGATGAACATGGAGAGGAAACAAAAAGATAATACATTCATTGATTCATAAGGTAATGAATTGCATTTTTTATTCAATCTACTTATTGCTAAACATTTCTTTACATTAAGTTGAAATCTCTCTTAGAAACTATATGAAGCTATTATAACTACACAGAACGAGTTTTTTAAAAATGTAATTGATCTTTAAATACCAGAAACAGTCACCTTAATAATAATGATACTAGGTACAATTTGACCAAGTAACATGTGCTGAGATGAGCATTCAGAGGGTTGGGAAGTCTGTCCAAAACTACATCAAAGCCCATAGTCTTTTCACTATGCTATGGTATATGGACTATACTATTCCTCTTCAGTGTTCTCCTAACCTTACCTCTAGTCTTGTTCTTCTCTAATTCAGTATATAGATATAGCTGCCAGAGTCTATGCCATTCCTCCCACTTAAATTCTTTTAATGAGGTTTCAGCACACTTAGAATGAACAAATACCTTAATAGGGCAAGCCCCTTTTAACCCTTCAGTTTCATTTCACATAGCTGTTTTGCTCAAACACTATGAACCTCACTTCCATTTCTCAAACTCACATTCTAGTATCCAATTATATGAATTGTCAATTTCTGAAATATGAGTCTTCAAGTCTTATTCAAGTGTTTGGATTCACACTATGTACTAAGGTGAAAATATCAGCTGACAAAACAATACAAAGTAGTGTGAAATACCTGTACATGAAACTTGTAGTATCTGGATAAGGTAAGATTTTTTAAAATCCCTTCTAAAAAAAAAAAATACATCACATTTTACAGATATATTTTAAAGATTTCTCAAAAAGCTTCTAAATTGACTTAAAATTGTTGGCAGATTAAAAAACTTTTTAAGGGGGCTCTGGACATAATTCTAATATTCAAATTCCCATTCACTTTCATTGTTAACCTTACTATGCTCGCCAAAAGAAAGAGAAGGCAGCAATACAAAACCATATGCTCTCCAAAAGTTGCATACTTACCTGAAACCCCACAGTGAGAGTGATCATAGAGATGTCGTTGTTGTAGGGTAGACTTTTTGTAAATAACATGAGGATGGCCATTTTCATAACTAAAATGCTTAGACTCCTCTGTAGTATTATTTAAAGGTTCAATAAAATAATCTTCATCCTCTGTAGCAATAATGCCATGCTAAAAAAAAAACAAAGGATTTACCAAGAAGAATCATTTTAATTAGCTATCATTGTTACCAACAGTCAAAAACAAATTGATATCTCTCCAAAAAAGAGTTAAAATATACACTAATTTAAAAAGTTGTCTATTATCTGTACTTATTAAGACATATAAATTTCTATCCTTTAAAGAGAATGTTTCAATACCTCTATATACTATGCAGTAATATACTGTACATATTTCTTCCACTTTTCCTAACAACTTTGAGAGGTAACAGAGAACTCTATGTGAATTTCAAAGCTTACTTCCTTCCCAAATTGTGTACAAAACTTAACTACATCATCTGTATTTATGTATAGCTTTGTCATTAAGTTTTGGTCAATAAGAAATGGACAGAGGGCTGTTTATCCCCTTCAGGCCAAACCCTTGAATATCTGTGCAGTGGAATTATTCACTCTCTTTCTCTATTGCCAACTAAATGGAAATATCTAGAGGAGGTAGAAAAAGGCAAGGCACATGGCTCCCTGAATAAACTCTTTCTTGGAAAGCCATCTGATGTAAACACTTATACAAGGGGAAAATAAATTTCTTTTTTTTTTTTTTTTTTTTTTTTTTTTTTTTAGAACTCAGGACCTTGAGCTTGCAAGGCAGGTGACTACACCAATGAGCTAAATCCCAGGCCCAGGGGAAAATAAATTTCTATTGTGATAACAACTGACATTTTTAAGGATCATGTTACACTAATGAGCATGTCCTTAATTAACATACATCCCCATTTTGCAGATGAAGTAACAGGCTCAGCGATCAAAAATCCACCCTATACTATATATAGGAAAGAAAAGAAGCTGAAATTCAAACAAAACTCTGCTGTTATTTACATTATGTCACACTACACCTACACAGTTAGCCAAGTCCTACTCAGCTGTTTTATCCTCTCTTTAAATGCTTCTTCAGCCCAAATGCAATAGTTTCATTCTCCTCTGAGCTCCAATAGAGGTTATCATTATCATTTATTTTCAATTAATGCAACAGTTTTGTTCCATTTCAAATCTTTAAGATTCATTTATATTCAGTACAACTTTTCAACTGGATAGTATAGCTTCCCAACTATTTGCTTTCTTCAGGCAAAGGGTATCTCTTCTATTCCCTTATATCAGTTATAGACATAGAAAGGGGCTCTTACAGTAAATGTTATTTGCATCAAAAAGAAGAACTTCCAAAGATAAATAAGAATCTCCCCTCTTTTCTAATAATGTTTTCCTAAGAAAGGCACCTGAGAGAATTGCTCTTAATCCAACTAATTTACTTTGTAACACTGGATAAAACACAAACTCTGTAGATGTATTTCCTCAACTGGAAAAATGAAAGGGTTGATCTAAATTAGAAGTTCTAAAACAGCACTCTAGGAGCCCTGAGGGCCTCCTGAAAGTGCCCTCAGGAGATTGCCCCAGACAACAAAGGGAGATCTAAATGACTTGGATTCCTAGGCTTAGAATCAGCTGTGCTTCTTATTAATCTGTGTATTAAGTTTCCACATAACATTTCATATGAGAAAAGGGTTTTGCTGCTTCAAAAAGAAAAAAAAAATCAAAACCACTGGACCATGTAATCTCTAAAGTCCCTTTGAATTCTAAACCTCTGTGTTCTGTTTAGAGAAATTCATGTTAAGTACTACCTGCTTGGAAAGAAAGATAAGACAAAATCAAAAGTGCTCTTACTACAACCTACATGAAATGAGTTCAAGAAATGAAAAAAAAAGGAGACCTTAGACACTTTATATTATTTTTACTATTGTTTGCTTTAGATTATGGTTAATAGTCTTTATATTACATGCAAATACTGACAAGGGTAACAACATACCATTAACAGACTACAATACCTCAGCATTAAATGTTTTACCAGGTAGATAAATACTGTAATAAAAACAGAGTACAGTTCTTGAAGAAAAAGCTTCAAGTTTCAATAAAAATTTTGCTAGGAGGAAGTGTAGAAAGTGAAGTGTAGGATACCGTCTAGAAAGGACAGGACACTAAAGTCACCCTAGTCCCTGGAAATAGGAAGTTGAAAAGTCTTGGATATGAAACAAAGGTTATGGGTGAAAAATGGAGTCAAGGACTGGTAAGTAAACAAAATCTGTAAATTATAGAAAGACTTTGAAGGGGCAATTGAGAGATTTTGTGTGTCAGATATTCTGTAAAATGTTTATGCACCTTATCTTAATCTTAACACCTTTTTGAAGTAAGTACTATGAATAGCTCCACTTTGCAGATGAGAAACTCAGAGCAAAGTTAAATAAAAAATTCATTTGACTGACTTTGGAATGTGGACTTTTAACCACTACAGTACAATTCTCTTATCCTCTAAGGGCTGTTTCTAGCTTTATGTATTCATTCACCAAATAAGCATTGGTTGCCTATCAGGGGAATAATACTGTGCTAAGTGGTATTAATATAACAGTGCCCCAAATAAAGCTTCAGCTCTATTATAACACTTACATTCTAAAAAGTAGTGAGAAAAGTAATTAATTAATTAGATAAATGATCTGTTAGGTAGCAATAAATATTAAGAATGAAAAAATTCAATGTAAGAGGAAATAAGAGAACTATACACTTTATTTAGGATAGTTGGGGACATCCTCTCCAATAAAGGGATTTTTGAACAGAAGCCAACATAAAGCAAGTCAAATAAATATTGTGGGAAATAGCAAATGCAAAGAGAATGAGGTAGGAGCAAACTTGCACCATTTGAGCAATAGCAAGGAGCTACAGTGACTGACTAGAGGGAGAGAAAGAAAATTACAGGATTAGAAAAGGGCTAGAGGCCAGATAATGGAAGACTGAGCCAAGTCAAAGTCTCAGATATGTGTACATGACTTTTTTGAGCAGCAACCCTCATATTCACACTATTCACCTCAGGCTTATCTGGACAGATCTTGTAATGCCCCATTCCCAGTGATATCAGTTCCTTTGAGAAGCACGAGTTGCATGTCCTGGATTCTATTTGTTGTATGGATATGGATAATGTTTTCTGATCCCATTGCCTACCCCTCCTCTCAAACACAAGACCAATCATCAACAACGTTTCCTGTGCTCTCAGCCTCATCTCTATTCACTTCATCTTGTTCCTACAAAAACCTGAGTCTCTCTAAATAACAGTTTTTCCTTATAGACCTCTGGAATCATGGCCAGTTTGTTTTACACATGCCTCTTATTAGACTTGAAGGTAGGGTTCTTATAATTTATTGCCTTATTCAAGCAATTCTCTCTTGCTCCTCAAGGAAAACACCAGTTTAAAATTTCATACCATAATCTTATCCCCTTCTAGTTTCAGTATTCTACTGGCCCCAAGTTACTCCATTAGTTTCTTAAATATTTTAGCGGCTGGATCACTGTCATTCTCTGCAATAAATCAAATAGTTGTTTATTTCATTATATTTTTTATGTCACAAGCTCTTAAAAATTGTTATGTGTGTACCTGTGCCCTGATTCCCTTTGGATATCTAGATATGATACCTATGGATCCCTTCTCAAAATAATATTTTAAATACAGAAAAAATGAAATTATAAATAAAATTAAATAGCAAAATATATACATATTTTTTGTAACATGTTAACATCTTCAGTGGCTCTGAACTACAATAATTTCACAACAGTGATAAACAAAAATAACAATTTGAAAAGCATGCACAAATTTGTAACATGATATGAATGCATTTGGGGGATAAATTCATGAGTACTGATATTACTATATTGATTACCTATATTTTATAATTGAAAGAAATGTTAAAGGTCAGTTAAGAATTAGTAAAAATATTAGCTTTTATTTTGCTCTTTAAATTATTTATACTTTGGATTTCTCACATAAGAGAAACCATGTGATATTTAACATGTGCCTGACTTATTTTGCTTAGAATTATGGTCTCAAGGTACATGATAGGAAATGGAGACAGACTTGTGAAGATGGGAAGGGAAGGTGGCAAGACAGGAGAGAAGAGAGGGGAAGAGGAAGAAATAAGATCAAGATATGATTATATATGTACCAATTCCTACCGCAAATGCATGTATTAGGTATTGTAAACATATACTAAAGAGAAATAAAATAAATACAGAAAAAATAACTCATAAAATGACAAAAAAGAATTAAGATGTGTTGTATATATGTACAAATTCTGCATGATCAGTGTGAGTGTTATGTGCCCCAAACATGTACTTTAAAAAATAAAGATATGTTGTACTTTTTCCTGTTTAAAATCCCCCTAAATTTTAGCCATGGACGCATATTAAGAAATACTAATGTAGGGCCGGGGATTTAGCTCAGCGGTTCGGTGGCCTGCCTCGCAAGCGCAAGGACCCGAGTTCAACCCCCGTGCCACCAAAAAAAAGAAAAAACGTACTAATGTAGATAATCTCTCAGTCCCTACTCTCCCAGTTCCTTGACCTCCTCTCCTTCAAATATCTTGTCTTTCACCTTACCTTAGACATTCACATATATGAATGACTTCAGCATTATGAATATTTGCAATGTTCCATAATCTTTATTTCAAGTATTCCTTTCTCTCTAGCACCAACCTTCCAACATCCCAACTCCAAGAAACAGTCATTTATCTCCACCAACACCTTCAGTCAATTGATCAGCTTTTTTTTTAGTCTTTCACCCTCCTCATATTCTCACTTCTCTCCCAACCCAACTTCAATTCCACTTTGAATTCTCTAGTCCCTTTCTCACTTTACTGAATTCAATTCATTTAGCCAACTACAACCCTGATTAAAATAAATTTTGCTGCATGGGTCTGCACCTTTGCAATTAGACTTAGCCAGAGAAAAATGCCAACAAGCTACTGGGTTCACTTTAATTCATAATCATTAATTTCAACTGTGCCCTAATTAATATTCCACAGTATTATCTAGTTCATTCATTATTATACTTTCTTAGATAAACAAGCCATACTTTTTCATCTCTTCGTTTTAAAATTTTTTTAGTGGATGCTTGCAGTATATAATGTTTATGGTCCTTGTGTG